GCCATGGGGAATGGTGGCTGGGGAATTCTGGGAGTTGAAGTCCACCCATCTTAAAGTTGCTGAGGTTGAGGAACCCTGCTATAACCCCCACACGCACACACGTTGTTTCTTGTGGCATCCCACAGGAGCCAAACTTTACACGCCACACTTTAAACTTCCTCCTCTTTCAAAACGCCTTAAGTAACCCACCAGCTCAGATTTGCACAAAGGGCTGGGTTGCCAAACACGCTGGACTGGATCAAGGGTTCATCTGAACCTAGGTTAGGGTCTCTCGTGGCCTGGCGTGTTGGGTGAATCCACCCTTTGTTCAATTTATGGTCCAACGTACTGGGTGAACCCAGTAAATGAGGAAACTCCATCACCACGTTCATTATGTTCTATGAACACAGACACGTGTGGCTTCAGGGCAATTTTGCTCATGTTCAGCTGGTGGACTCTCCTTCTCTTACCAGGCTCCTCCCAGGCCATGATCAGAGGCTCCGGCAGCCCGGCGTGTTCCACATAGCACCGATAGTGGTCCCTCTCCTTCGGATCGACCTCGATGCTCAGCCAGGCATGGTAGGTCCCATCTGAGTTTGGCAGGACACCCCCCCGGAAGGTGTCCTGCTCCCAGAGTTCCCCCTCCTTCCTCCAGGAGATATCCATCTCTTTGGGATAGAAGCCATAGGCTCGGCAGATGAGGGTCTCCAGGCCATTGTACTGGATCCTGTGGGTTACCTTCACCACTGGGGGCTCTGTAGAAAACACAACTTTGGCTCATTTTAAGACTGCACATGGGTAGCGTGGGGACATTGCACCACAGATCCAGCGCCATCCTGCAGCATCGCCAACCCTGGGCTCCCTCCTTCCACCCTCACCTTTCCTCAGCAGAGAGTCCTTTCCATGCTTTGTGCATTTCTGAAGCAGCTCAATACACTCCTTCTGCAAAAAGTGATTCCGGCTCTGGGCAATGAAAGGCTCGGCTTCCCACCTCCTCTTGGTCACCTGAGCACGGACGTCGGCTGCGGTCCAGGTGAGGGTCTCCTGATCCAAGCTGATAAAGTCCTCCCCATCATAGGCGTACTGGTAATACCCCCGCTTGCGGCCGTCTTTGCTCAGCTCACAGCCAATCATGCGCTGCCAGCTGTGAAACCCTGCAGAGGAAACGGGCACAGAGCAGACGTGTTCCTATCTTTGATCTCCTTTTTGGTTTCTTCTCCCATTTCGGTATTTGAGAATTTACAGCCTGAGGAGTATTCAGGAAGCGGTTTGTAAACAGCCAGCTGCAAGCTGAACAAACCCGGCCCCTTGCCAGTTCACAGGAAAGTCATTGTAAAGAAACTGACAAACTCAGCCCAGAGAGGTTCTCGGAGAGTTGGGGGGATTGGGCAAATGATGAAAGCAAGCTCCATCCCTTTTGTACATTCGTTGTGACATCACACACACATACGAAAGGTGTGGAGCAGTGTCCAGACAGCAAGATGTTGCTTTTGTCATTTTTATGAAAGCACAGGATCCGGAGGATGCCTCTGTTCCCCCTTAATGTATTAGTGGATAAATGGATTCTAATGGGAAATGGTTCAATTGCTGAAATTCTTTTAATTCTGCGGCTTTGCAGTCCGCATCAGGGTGGGCCACTCATGGGGTCTCGACAGGCGAGAGTGAAGACAAACACGCAGGTTTTCCTCGAGGTGAGTGAGCCCAGAGCGTGTTCTGAACTACTCTTT